CTGTTTAGATACGGTTCAATACAACCCAACAAAATTCGTTATATTAGCGGAGCATGACTTCGACTGAAAAGTTGATCAAATTGATAACGAATATAAAAATGAAAAATATTTGTCGTGACGACCATGTCAGGAATAACGTGATGCTACAGCACTTTGGAATGAAAAATATTCAATCAAGGACCTAATGCAAAGAACGTACAGCACCCATTGAAAATGTAAATTAGTAATAGAGCCAAGAATGTAGACTATGCCCACTAGTCTACTTGTACGGATTTCCAGTTACCTAACTAAAATATTCAATTTCTCCAGCGTTTGAGCTTTCTGATTCAATATCCTACTCTACATAGGGAAGCGATCCAGCACGATTTTATAATGAGAAAACTTACTCAGAATTTGAAAGTTATAGTAAGAAACTTGGTCGTTCGTTGTTTTAGCATAATATATACAACAAAACATCGAGACATTTTTTTCTCGATTCCATTTTTGATAACTTCACATTCAGAATAGGGTTTTGCGCTGTTTTGCAAGCAGCGATACTTGAATAATCATAAACAGGCAAGAAGATTTATGATGTTTATGAGCTTGGTATATATATATATTATAGCAGACAAAGCAGTAGTTTACTAGTTTCACTAAAATGGCGTGGCTTTGAGAACATTTTAATATTTGCCATTATATCAAAACGAATGCTCTGAAGTTGTAGAATGATTTTGTTCGCATGAGAAGGGGTTTACAGTGAAAACAGCAATAGATCGATTGCATGAAATCCATTGAAGGTCATCGCGGCAGGGTGAAAATGCACATCACTTCTCCATACCCGATCTAGGTATGAAAAACTTGGGAAACTAGTTACCGCAATATCCTAACCAGGTTGGCAACACGTGGTAAAATCTCTAGAGACCCGGCCTAATCTAGTCAAACCTTCGCCCAGGGTAGGTCACTTTGCCTGACATGCGAAACAATTCTATTAGCTAATCGAAAACATCATGACCATTTCAAAACTAATAGGTTCCTAGAAGACAGATGTATAGATTGGATTAAATCACGCAAAAATGGTATGGCCAACGACAATATTTAATACTTGAATTCAAATAGCATTAACGGCTTTTCGACAATTTAGTTTTATACAATGATAACTTAGTAATTCTTTGTATGTACGTAACAAATATTTAAATTTGTCACATTTCGAGCCATATCTTTTCCAATTATATTATCTGCTTCCCTCATTCGATAACCCATCTCATCGAGACTTGAGAACGTCAGTAAAAAATATTACAGTATTAGTGTTTATTATTATTGCCAGTGCCTTGCCAGCCTACGTCATTCTGACTCAGCTTACTCGCCCAATAACTAATCTTCACCCTCGAGGTTTTGTTTTAAAATACGCGGTGAGATATCCATGTCAGCTCTTTGCCTATCTGCCTGCTATATGAATAATTTATCCTTAGTCGATGGTGAAAATATTTCATAAAAGAATTAGCATATTCTCACATCCCAAGATAGTCTACAATCATTAGCAACCATCAGAGAGACACCGCTCGGATCGATCTTGTTTGTAACATAAGCCCTAATTGTGACCAACGTATTATCATTTCACTAAATTCATCACTATGCCAATTTAAGATATTAAAATAACTAAGACATAACTAAAATACTTCACGAATAAATGGATTTCTTCATACGAACTGCCTATTGCTGCTAATCTCGGATATATACAATACTGATTTGATGTCAATCCGTCGGTTTATGCAAAAACCTATGCGTAACCTTCGAATGAATTTTGAATGGATTTCTAATGTACATATTGAATTCCGTTCACTATGTGTTTGTTTTAGCGGATTGTCTTCGGTCACGTAAACGTCGATGTTTACATAGCAAAGATTGTGAAGGGAATTTCGCCTTCAGTTATTGTTTGCTGAGTATTCCAATTGCTCGTTCAGATGTACTTTAAACTTTCTAAAGAGTCTTCGATACCATAGGTTTAGTCTCAAGCAGTGTAATATTATTTTAATTATGTACGCCGAATGACATTATTATGTGTTCATCTATAAGAAAAATGATAAGATAGCAAGCGCGAAGGCCTAGTTGTTAAATCGTTAATAAAAGCCTTAACGTGAAATATTGAAAACTCGGGCCCAAATCAGCACCACCTCAGCATCTAAGCGCCAGAGTGGAAAGATTCCCGTCCTCTTGATATATAGTAGCCCCTCATATAGATGTGTGCTTATACAGATCGATGTTCGAGATAGCCTACAATGTGTGTAATGAAATCGCCTAAAAATAACTTTTCTATTTCCAAATTGATGTGTATACATCTATAGCGGAAATTCTGAACGGTCTTACCTCGAAATCCTCCATAATTTGAAAATCTTTCAATATTTGCCTAGAGCTGTGTTAAGACTGAAGCGCTTTTCTCGTGCTCAAGCCAAAACGTTTGAGTTTTTTGAGTTGGAACCCATTTTTATCAATCCATTTTACTCGACATTTGACGACAAAATACGAATTTGCTACCACGGTGTTCCATTATAGAATAGCCACGAACTAGAGTTTATACCTTGTAATCTGAGTTCTTCTTCATGCTCTCACACCTTTTTATGCAATATTTTGTGAAGTTTATTTTTGGCAAAATCTCCCGAGAATATGTTTTCTTGAATAAGACTATAATCAATAATGCATCGACTTTGATGTTTTTTATTTTATTTTGTGAAGTCGAACCTTTTATCTCGTTTATTTTATTTTCTTACTAACTGAATCACTGTCGCAACTAATGTTTCCACAAACCGTAGACTGAATGTACATCTATAATTTTTGTGGCTAAATTTTCATCTCCAATTGTAATTCAGTAGTAATAGTAATTCCAATAGTAATTCAGACAAAAACAAAAATGACCAAGTATGGATGCAAAGTGTACCAATATGGGAAAAAAGGCCAAATATTTTGTTAATTGCATGAATGAATTAATGTTACATTGAACGTGTGTGTTGATCTTCATACAAAATGAAAATGTCTTATTTTAAGTGTTAGATTCTTTACGTATTTTTGAAGAAAATATCACTGTTTATTGTCGTTTCCTTTCAGGCTATTCAAATATTTAATATTTAACGGCTAAACGCCAATGACTTTGTTGTCTCGGGCTTGAATAACCTCCGAATGCAAACGATAAACGTAACGATAATTTATTATTGAAATGAACTAACTATAAGTTGTTGTTTACGGCAACGTCTTTTCAAAAGCAATGCTGGCAGCTATCATTCCTTGAAATAGCAGGAATTGGATGGAAGACAATATATTGGATTTATTATTATTATTTTTTGCTCAGAACATTTCACTCTTGTGAAAGTATTTTTGGTGTCGAGCTTGCTCTTGCACTATTCCTGCTAAAATGCCAAGTTGGAGTTACAAGATCTGGTGTGAAGGGGAAATCTTTCTCAGTTCTCTATAACATTAAAATATGTTTTCTGTAATCGACGTTAGCATATATATATATAACTACTGAGAATAGTTATCCATACTGTCATTTCGTTATTGTTGTAATTTCCCAATTTCACATTTATAAATGATAAATTGTCAAGTCAACGTAGTAAATCGTGGTTGGTTTCATTTCTTTAGATTAAATCGGGATATTCTTATAGATTCGGAAGAAATTGCATGATCATTAATATGCTATAGTTTTACAGGGTGGTCCAAGGTTGTCGGCCTCGCGGGCCACACTATTATTTTTGTATTGTTCGCGGGCCACAATAGTACCAAGAATAGGCAAACAGTGCAATACAAAACAAACACTTATATTGCCAAAACACATTGATCATTATTCGTCCTTTTCCAAGTTAAAATATTCAAAAACCTCACAAAAAAACACCGACACTTAGCATATTAAGCAAGCATTGTGGTATTTTCCCTCCCATATTCAGTCAAAAATCTGTTTAAATTGGTCAGCTTTTTTTCAAACTTATGTTTACAAAAATAACTAACAACACTAGTCAATTCAGTTACATTAGTGATGTAACAAGATGTCAAAAGATTTTTCTGGTTATTTTTATGACGAAACAACACTAAAAGCGATTTTTTGTTTACCCTCGCGGAAATGCGACGCGGGCCACAGATAATGAAACGGCGGGCCACCCTGTGCTAGTAATAAATGAAAAATAGACGTTCATCACTTCAACCCTTATGTGTTGAAATACATTTCGCCTTCTGCACTATGACAAGTATGAATGCATAATTCCTACGCATTGAGTGGCCAAAATACGTCTTTCGAAGGTAATAAATAATGAAAAATGCACATGTTTGTCCAAAAATATGGTAATAGGTATCTTGAGTTCCGCTTCTGCAAAAAGAATTAACGCATTTTTATCGATTTTTTTTATAACAAATTTTGAGATTGAAGTATAAATTTTGAGCTGTTTCATTAATATCGAATTGTTTAGCGTAATCTCATTATTTGCGAAATCTGATACAAAAGAATTTGATTGAACCGCAGCTGCAACAAGTATTACCGAATTGACTTTTATTCCTGGAAATATACATTTTATTTCATAAATGTCATCAGATACCAATTATTGCTACATATATATCGATCTTGCTCTTTAAAGTTAATGTGCGAGATGGGCCAAATACACTCTTATACGTGCGCCTTTGACGCTAGACACTCAGCACGCATAATTAGCGTCCATTATCGATTTGACGCCAAAAATACCGTTCCCTTCGAGGTCGTTTGGAATTATTTATTTTAGGAATTTTTATCTTAAAATAGATTTGAAAAAACCTATGATAAACGAGTAATATTTGTTTTGCATTGGATGATGTATTTTCAGTCAAAGCTGTTTCTGTTTGTAACATGCTTCTCTCATTTTAACTATGATATTTTTATCATATTTACCTTTGGATATCATCAAAATAACAGGACATATTTAATTTTTCTAAATATTTTCTGTAGTGGATATTTTTAAAAGCTATAAACAGAAAACTGAAGATATGATCGAAAATTTTTTTTAATTCAATATTCAATTTTTATAAGGGCACACTGATAACCTTTTAAATCTGTTAGGACGACTTGTAAAAAAGGTAATAACTGAAAATTCATTCACCCATTTTTTCCCAATTTATAAATTGCTAATAATAATAAAAATCTTTGACAGGTGATCATTGTGGACACAGTGTAACAAATTTAAGTCAATTTAATTTTAAAGTGAAACATAAGATTGTAGATGCATTTTGTACATTGATAAAGGTGTTCCTGTCAAATAAGTGCAAAAATTCGATTTTGAAAGAATAATAGAATATTTATTTACCCAGCGCTTGCTTTTAATGATAATCAAAAATATATAAAGAATATTATATTCTCTTCCAAGCAAATTTTCGAATTTAGATTCATTTGCATAAAAAGCTTTCATATATCATTAGCATAATCGTCATGCATAATATGCAAATCTGTGGAACGAGCACACTAAACCGTTTAATTCTGCTTGACAAATGTTTTATCAGTGCAAGTTGTTAAGAATACAGAAACCGCCGAAATCTTCTATCATTTTTTGTTTTATGCAACATGTCTTGAGACGGTAAGTATAAATAAGTAGATATTCTCGTTGAATATGTCTTTCCTTGAGTTTTCAATGAATACCATTTGATATATATATATGTTTGTGCATTCACAAATTTGAATACACAAATATAGAAGCAAATATCATCACTCAGAATAATGTTGGATATTTTAAGAATTTTCTCTTTAATGGCTTCCTCCATACTTGGCCAATGGACTGTTATTTAGGCAGGAAGTTCAAATTTTGGGACAGATTTGAAAAGCGTGTACTGTCAATTAGGTAAACATTATATATAAAACTGGTCCTGAATCACAAAAAACATAAAAATATGAAAAATCAAGACGAGGAGCTGGAGTGAAACAGCGCCGCTAAAAGCAGCAAACTAGTGTTCATTTTTCAAGTTATTGACTTCAACATATCATTTGCGAAAATACCGAACCCTCGTCGAAACACATCTTTGCATGTTTATATCTTAAACTTTGACTCTATATCGAGCCGAAAAGAAGCCACAAATTTGGTGAACATGTACTTTGGGAGGAGATTAATCCATTCGATGAGACTTTTGTTCCAAGATAACTGCAGCAAGGGTGATTGTTAGTTTTCAACATAAACACACCATGATATGTGGACGATTATTATATCGAAATAGCTCTTGTTGAAATTCTTGGAATAGTTTCTATTGACACTTCGCGATAAACGATTGAAAAATTCATCAATCTGTTTATGTACATCGATAAAATTCTCGGACTTGGAAAATACTGAGAATATGTGGGAAAACTTCCATCATAACTCCTGTAAATATTCAATCTTTTACAAAGAAAATAAGTTAATTACGAGATTGGTATTTTTAAAGTGTCAATGAGTAACCTAATAATTAACAGAAATATAAAAAAATGAAAGAAAATCGAAAAATATTTCAAGATGAAAAATGAAGAAATTAAAACAATCCAATAACACACTAGGAACGTTTGTTGTATAGATGTGATTTCCTTGTTTTGAAAATTGCTTGATAAATGTGTTCAACTTCTAAATATTGGATGAAGTGACTAACGTACGTTATCACTATTTCACACTTTTAGTTATTGACTGGAACGTATTTGTCGGTTTGTCAAATTTCCAAATTAATGATCGCTTTCAAAAAATAATTAAACGCTTACACAGTTATATTAAATATATATATATAAGTTTCATTATTAAATGTTGAATTGTTGATGATTGTCGAATTCAATATAATTACGTTGAATTTGTTTTAAAAGAATATTTTGTTCCTCGATTTATCCCAAAATAATCATATTCATATTCCCATATATATATGTTGTAGAAAGTTTTTTTAGAAATTAAACCGGAATAACCTTGCCGATGTCGAATCTGAATCTTGCCAATCTTTCATTTGAAATTGACACAACGGTATAGCACGTCTCCATTTGTTCAAGGTCATTGCCCCCATTTCGACTAATTTCTGTCGAGTTGGATCCCGAAATCGAAGTTGTATTGCAATTTGGTCATATTTTAGTGATTCTTTTGGATGGCCTTTTATCCAAGTCAAATACTTGTTTGCTTCGTTTAGTTTTTTTGTATCCGGTGCATCGGGTAAGGAGAAGGGCCCAAGACCTGGTATCGTGGTGGTAGCCAGCTGAAAAATAAAACATTTATTTCTGTATTTGTTTATTGAGCAGATGCAACGCATTGACATTACACGAAAAGAAATGCACTTACATGATAAGTCATCCCCGTCCAAGCGATAATCACTTTTCTGTTACCGTATTTCGGATCTTGGAATTTATCATGAACGTAACTTAGTATCCTAGCATATACTAGCGGACTATCGAGTTTAGCTAATACGCCGCCGTTGAAATTGCAGAGATCTTCTGATTTCGGTCGTGAAAATTCCTTCCCTCGTATTTCCATGAGTCGGAAGCAACGATCTAAGTATGTTACTCCGCCAGGACAGACTGATCTGTCTGTAAAATAATAAGAGTATTTACTTCTGCTCAATATTTCGGTATGAGTGAGTTCCGTTCAAGAAATGTTGGCCTCGCACAACTATTTCAACCGATTATTCGACACGAACAAAACGAAAAATGCTACATCATCCAGCACGTTAATTAGATGAGTTTCATAATATTACCTTCAATTCCTTCCACAAGCTTGTTGAGCTTCTCTACTTTATCTGAAAATGTGTGATTTGATATTGTATTATTTCTGGATACCAGACAACAATTTATTGTTTATTATGTTGTGGTAAAGTGCGGCGTACACCTTTCACGGTTGAAGAAAATTCAATTTTATTTTGTGATGAGACAAAGAAGAAACATAGTTTAATAGCTGAGATGCGGATGAAATGATATATGATATATGAAAATGATATAATTAAACATGAAAAATTTCAGTATATTAATCTAGTTTCATATCTTATAAAACTCTTATTGCAGTGCCAAGTTCTCCTGCCAAAACTACAAGCTACCAAATATTGTATGAAAAAGTAGCTAAATAATATTACTATAATGCTATTTCTCCAATAAAGTAAAAAGTATTGAATAGTATAAATCGCTTTTTGATATTCTCACCTTCCAGAGTCTTTATCTGCTCATTGACGGCATTGCTGACAACATCGCAGGTCATGGATATATTTTGCCTGTCCGTTTGTATATTTAGAGGTGGTATTTCATCTGGAGAATCCACTCTTGGTATGTTTTTTAAAAACGGCATTGCCGACTGCAATATGCTTGCTGCACCAGAAAATTTGAAAGGTATCACTTTTAGTCCTTCATCCCCTGTTTTATCGATATGAATGGGATTTTTTTCGTCTGCGTCTACCATGGTGCATACCATTCTTTTCTGTTGTTTTTTGGTCTCCTCTTGAGCAAAGCACATTTGCAAAATCAAAAATATTGTTACGGTAAGAATAAATGCGTTCATTTCGTTTCTAAAATGAAAACAACTCAGTTAGATTTCGTTGTTTGCATGTGGAAGTGTACGACAGTGAAAGGAAGTCCAACATCGTCCACTCCGAGTTCAATTGTCTAGTCTAGATTGATTAATATAACGTGATCAATTTACTTACAAAGTTCATTACATAGAGAATAACTTTGCGCTTGTTTTGTTGAAATGGTTAAATTTCAAAATTGATTTATTAAACTAGGTTGTCGCCTAACTTCGATGGTTGGGAATGCAAAATTACCAATCTAAAATTACTACTGAATTCAACATGGGGTGCAAAATTTAAACGTATATAACTTTCCTTGATGCAGTGTACTTTTCCGCATCTCTTGACATTTACAAATTTGGCGAGACATTATTATTGGCTGATAGTCAATCAAAAACTTGGCAGTTTACTCTTCCCTTTACCTTTGAACAGTTACCAGTCATAGTCGTACATGCGAATGCAATGTAACCGTGCCTGTTGAAAACTAGTAAGCAAAATTGCGTCACTGTTAATGTTATATATACCACGGAAAAAGTTTCATGCAGGGACGTGACATTCGTAAGAATGTCAAAATTAATTTGCGGTACTTTTTCGTTACTCATGCACTAAGCGCTTTGCAATATTTAATTGATCTTTTTCGATTCTAACGGAAATGACATTTTCATCGAATTAATTTTGAGTTACATGTATGGTAAAAACTATTTCATCAGAAACATGACGAAGTAGGTGACCAAATAAAGTAAGTGGCCATTACTCAATGTGAGATTATTTTCTATATCGTTCGTTGGAGTTAAAGTTGAAAATCCTATTATTTCCGATGAACAAACGTTTTATTTATGGGATAAAACCAAGTTTTATAGTAAACTCGTATTGTTAAAATGATGTATCAATGCATGTAATTTTACTGTTATCATTCATTTAGTTAACTTCAATTTAAAGTTTGTGACTCCAGTTTTTCGTAATTCCATACTTCAAAACGAAGCACACGATGTTGTTGCATATGCGAGAGAAACGGTTTCTACCGGAAGCGATACCACAAGCGTGACATCATAATGTTATACGTCATCTTATTCTAAGCATCTGGCAATTATTATACAGTAACGTTTTATTATGCGTAGGCAACTAGAAGGCTTATTCATATGAATAATTGCACGATATAGTTACTCCAACATTCAATTACAAACGAATTTAAGAAGGCTACTTGATCTATTAGTAGAATATGATCTGGTTTCACAGGCTATTGTTGACCAAAATTGTTTCTTTTCACTAAAAAGATAGTCTACTCTTGATGTAACCTTCAGATATGTTCGAATATATTTCATCAATGCACATACATATAATATCTAGTTATATATTATTTTTCATCGTTGTGAATATTTTTGTAATACTTTCAGGTTCTGTAATTATTTCATCAAAGTACCGTTAATTTTTTTTCCGAGAGTTGTTCATTTAGATTTTCTCACGCCTGTTCTCTCGTATTGTGGTTTTCATTTATATTTTTGGAGCGCGATCCAAATCCAAGTTTTATGGACATCTCACGACCCAAACCTTGAACATCAAAAAATATCAACTAGTGTTTCTTCAGAGAATTGTTTAATATCAAAGTAAACTAAGCCTTCTTTGTAAGCTAAGAGTGGCAAACGTTTTCAACGAATGAGTCAACATTCATATTTATGGAAAAGAAGACTGTGTCTCATAGAGATTAAATCAAAGTTTGCATCAATGAGAAACTTGCTGTTGCATGTTTTACGTAAGTCTTATTATCATTGAGTGTTATTATGCATTTCTTGAATTTTAAGCAAGTTGAGACAATATCAGGACAGAGGTGATTTCTGGCAATCGACTTTATGAAATTCATGTGTGAAATTACGGTTTCGCATGCTCGTGAATGATTGATTATACGTCAAATCTTTTAATGGCTCCGAAAGAATTCGAAGGGAAAGTTCACTGTGACAGAATTATATTTTTGAGTCAGTACAGAACTGCTTATAGACTATGTTTGTTATTTTGATTGAAACGACGTACCTATCACAATAACAATAAATCGACACGCCATGCGCACAATGGTGGAACTAACTGATTAATTGATTCAAATCAATCTGTTCTATGGATATGATTCGGTTGAGCAGCGCAAGTGAGAAATTGTCAAAGGAAATAAAATAGATGGAATAATTCTTGATGATTTTTGAACCTCTTTTATCACAATGTATTCAAATTACAATTTATAAAATTTCAGACTCTTTTCAAGCCCCCGAGACATCTCCAGCGTACGTACTACAGTGTACTAATTAGTTTTTTTTTTTAATTCTGAAAAAACATCTTATGTAATGTAAGTAAAAATCCTTGCTTGTACCTACACCAAAGTCATAAGATTTTAACAGGAATGTTCATCGGAGATATCAGAGAGACGTTTTGTGCAAGAAAAACATGAAACATATCTCACAAACCTACTATAATCCAAAAGTAATTGGATCAAGGCAGTCTTCGACAACGAGTGTGTTGCGATAATGAAGAATATTCTTAGGTCGGCAACGTGCGGATTTAGTTAGATGAGTCGATGAGACCCACTAGCCTAGGATATGTATATTGTAATGCCTCTCTGATACAATGACGTCACAACTAATTGGTTATACCGTCATAATAGGGATTTCGAGTTTATTTATTAGCACTTTTTTTTATACAAATTAAGGCAATATTACTGTTAATACTGTTCGGTTAATTTAAATTAGCATACTTTGGTTTTAAGGTTAAAGGGATGTAGTTTTTCAAAGTTATACAAACTCATTTATTTAACCGTATTTACATTTTGCCAAGTGGTTCACAGGGCGGTTTCGTCGCAGGGTAGTTTACAAATGGCTCATCGGTTGCGTCTTCCTGCGCCAACCACATTTGCGGACGCATTGAACTATAGCCTGAGAAGGCGTATATGGCCAAGTCATTGATATCTGTGGCATTTCGAAGGGTTCATTGCAAATACGAAGTGCTTGGCAAGTTTTGAAATCCATTTTTTTTTTAACATATTAAATACAAAAAAAAAACTTGATTTAAAACAATTCCATTTGAACAAATCCCCAGTACTAGTCAACGAATCGGTATAAATGTATTTAATTCTTCGGATAAATGAAAATAATAATCTTTTAACCTAACCCACTAGTCACATGCAAAATCTTTTTCATAGCCGAGTAGTCGTGTCAATTGAAGACAATTGTGGCGTGTTGTTAGCTGACTGTTGACTGACTACGGAATCTCTCTTTGATCCATAAAAAGGTGAACTGGATAAAATAAAAAATTGTGGGCCGATATCGTTATTAAATACTGATTACAAAATCTTAACGAATAAATTAGCAAATAGTTTGAAATATCTTTTATACGAAATATAATATATATATATAAATTGCATATTTGCCATTTTACAACAGACCGTTATAAATATATTCAATGGGTGCATTGGCTTTAACATAATTTTGGTAATTCAGAATACTGAGCCACCGTGTACTATTTTTGCCAGTCGGTTTTGGCGTGCTCGTTTCAAACTAATTTCATAAGAAGAGAAGGCTGGAGTATTAATTGCAGTGCACATGGATTCTCTCAGGATCGCAATATTAATAGCATAAGATACTATTTACCTCTGGAAAGAGGAAATCTAATAACAATGAAAAACGTATTGCAAACCATGTCAAGTCAATCAGTACATTTGTGATCATGACCATTCCAATATATTGTATTCGAAATTCATATAATGTGAAAATTGTGGTAAAGTGTACGAATTATATCAAGAAAATCTAAAACATCATCAATTTACAACTTTACCCGAAGAATATAAACCAGCACATAGACATGTTTTTTTATTCAGTTGGTAATCTGGGGGATAATACAGGGCTTGGCATTCAGTTTCCGAGATAAATATAGCGAAGAGTTTATGTTACGTCTGTTACTCGTGGAAGCTCATAAAATTATTAGGGTGCTCGCCGCACATGAAGTTTGTGCATTCCTTCTATATGCAGTCAGAGCAAAGAGTGCGTGTTTGTATAAGCAAATTTACGGAAAAGGAAGGTTACGCGCATTACTAGAACAATAATCTCTGAGCAAAGTTACAGGAGGCGAATGAAGTTAAGAGAACTACTGATACTTTAAATAGTCATGCTGGCGTAGAAATAAGAATTGTTTTTGGTTAGGACTGCAACACGAAATAAAAACTTCATCACAAAACTTAGATTTTGAAATGTTTGTTTGTTGAATACAAAATGTATCACGAATGTAAAATTCGAATTATTCGTTCGCTGAATTTGAAAATATTTACAAAACTTCGAATTCTAAAACTTTGTTTACCGAATATGAGATATAATCTTTACAGCTATTACAAATTTACAAAATGTTTCGTTTCTGCACTTGTTTCAGTCCTATACATCGTCCAAAAGAATATGAGACAGAATAAGCATATGGTTTGCCTTGAAGTGGTAGGAGTGACGGTGTCCTAGCAATTGTGTTCATCAGACAGTGGGTAAAAATTACTAATCGAGTACGCTGTGAACAATCAAATGGAGATAAACAAGGAAAATATGTTCAAATATATGGACACGTAGCGCCACATAGTGGCGAAAATTGGGATGACGTCATATCACACAAAGAAACGAATCCCTTACAGCTCACTGGAATATTTGAAATAAACAAAAGTAACAGCTTTTTAGCGAAAAATTTAGTCTTTGAACACTATCGGTCTAGATCAGTGTTCTTCAACCTTTTTTATCGTGGTATACCTTTTACAAATTTGCAAGAGTTTGGATATATTTCAAATTACAAAGTTGATTTTAAACTTCAATAAACGTTAAGTTTTAAGCACATATTGTAAAAAACTGCCCTACTGCAATATCACCATGAAATCTAATAGGCTACTGTCCGCAAGTTCTAAACGGTGTACATTTGACTGACGCCCCGAGCATCAACGGGAATAATGTTCAACGTGAATCAAGCAAAAAAAAAGTCGGTGATTGGACAACAA